GCATTTCTAATACGACTATATCAAGTAAATCGATTATTTAACGCATTGCGCGCACACACGTGCATGCATGTCCTTGCATTCAAGTTTGATTGTAGCATGATGTAGGAATCCGTCATATCTATTCATATTCTAAATTTCATCCTGTTTTGTTGAGGATCAAAAAAGTTATAGGCATTTAAAGTTTAAGCCAATCAGATCGCAGCACACGTGGATGCGCGTGGTTTCTTGAAAATTTTTATATATCATATTTTAGGATGTCCTAAGATATGATTATGTTTTAAAATTCAAAGTATTTTGTCAAAAAACAAGTAAGATATTGAGATTTTTGTTTCAGCCAATCAGAGCGAAGCGCACGTGCATGAACGTGAGTTTTTGCTAAAGTGACCATGTCATCTTATCTACAGTACTAATCTATCCTTATATAATGAGTTTCAAATCATTTCATCAAAAAATATAAAAGTTATAGCTATATTAAGTATATAAGTCATTTCACTCATTGCACGCGCCCTCACGTGCATGCGTATGCGCGCAAAATGACCTTCGTTCCGCACACCTATACTACACCCCTATTAACCCTAAAAAGGTTTTAGCTCAGTTGGGTGAACAGTTTCTGAGAACACTCGCGGACAAAAAAGTACCGGAGAAGAAATAAGAAGAAAAAAGAATAATAATAATAACTAGAGGAGATCTCGTTGCAAGCAACGAGTAGGTCTTCCGTTCGATTTTTGATACGATCATAAAACAACTTAAAATGAAAAAAAAGTTCATATCAATTCCTCTAAATACGTGAGAACACATTTAAGAGTGAAATCTGTAAATTTCAGACAACTTCCGGTCTTTATAATTCACTTCCGGTGTGACCGGAAGTACTAGAAATGACCTATAACTCCTCTCTGAGTGTGAAGGAATCATCCCTGATAATTTCGATGAAAAAAGCTCATTTTTTGGACTACTTCCGGTTTGGAAAAAATAATTTCCGGTGGACATAATTATACTCGAGACACTCTATTTGCCTATATAAGAAACATTTAAAAAAGAAAAAAATGAAAATTTGCATATTTTTAAACTACTTCCGGTGGACAACGGACGTGACGGCAACAAAAACTTTATACAAAATTCAAGAGAGCCTGTCACAATCTATCATCCCTGAAAGTTTCAAGACTCAATCTCAAACCGTTTTTGAGAACACTTCCGGACAAAATGACACTTTAAAAAAAGAAAATTGGCCGTATCTCGCGACCGGAAGTGACGACGGCAAAATAAAAAAAAAACGCCTTAAGTTCATGTGATTTGCCATCATTGCTGAAAGTTTCATAAAGATCTGTCGAGGCGTTCTCGAGAAATCGCCTGCACAAAATCGGTAAGAAAAAAAAATAATAATAATAATAGTGGAAAAGAAACAAACGAATCAGTAGAAGGTCTTCCGTTGGAAACGGAAGACCTTAATAATAATAAGAAGAAGAAGAAGAAACAGAGTAAAAACAATATGTTCCCCAACTTCGTTTGGGGAACATAATCATAATAAGAAACAATACAATCACTATAAGGTCTTCCGTGAAGACGGAAGACCTTAATAAGAATAATAATAATAAGAAACAATAGAATCACTATAAGGTCTTCCGTGAAGACGGAAGACCTTAATAAAAAAAAGTCGGACATTCGGGGGAGCGAACCCGGGTCGCCCGCGTGACAATCCAACGCGCTAACCATTCGGCCATTGAAAACACCGCTTCAAATTTTTAAATGCGAATATCTCGAGATTGCCTTTTTCGATTCTAAAACAAATTACAGATTACGAATTTGCAAATGAATGTCTATTTAGATTAAAAACATCAAAGAAAAATATTGAAAAACAAAAAAAATTGAAAATTTGCATTTTTTAAGTATGCTTGCGGCAGAAACCGGAAGTACTGACGACGCACGAAAAGGCAATTCTGCAATCCACAAAGTCACGATCTATCATCTCCAATAAGTCTCCAGTTCATATCCTTAGCCATTTTCGAAAAAAAGGGGCGACAAAATCGCATTTTAAAATCAGGAAATTGTCCATAACTTGGCACCAGAATCGAATTTTCCAAATTTTTCTTCGGATGTAACAAATTCATATAATGACGCAATTTTTGTGAAAGTTTCATCGAAAACCGCTGAATAGTTCTCGAGAAATCGCCTGCACAAAATTTATCAAAAAAAGAATAATAACTAGAACGATACTCGTTGCGAGCAACGAGAGGTCTTCCGTCCGATTCTGAAGTATAAAAGGAAAAATTTAGCAGAAAAAGTGATAAAAAAAAAAATCGGAAATTCGGGGGAGCGAACCCGGGTCGCCCGCGTGACAATCCGACGCGCTAACCATTTAGCCATTGGGATCGCCGCTTCGATTTTTCAAATGCAAATATCTCGAGATTGCTGTTTTGGATTCTAAAAGAAATTACATACTACACATTTGCAAATGAGTCTCTATTTAAATTGAAAACTTGAAAGAAAAATATTGAAAAACAAAAAATTGAAAAATTGCATTTTTAAATATGCTTCCGGCAGAAACCGGAAGTGCTGACGACGTACGAAAAGGCGATTCTGCAAACCAGAAATTCATGATCTATCATCTCCAATAAGTCTCCAGTTCATATCCTCAGCCATTTTCGATAAAAAGGGGCGACAAAATCGCATTTTAAAATCAGGAAATTGGCCATAACTTGGAACCGGAATCGTATTTTCCAAATTTTTCTTCGGATGTAACAACTTCATATAATGACACATATTTTGTGAAAGTTTCGTGAAAAACCGCTGAATAGTTTTTGAGAAATCGCCTGCACAAAATTTTGTCAAAAAAAGAATAATAATAATAATAAATAAGAAACAATAGAATCACTATAAGGTCTTCCGTGAAGACGGAAGACCTTAATAATAATAAGAAACAGTAGAATCACTATAAGGTCTTCCGTGAAGACGGAAGACCTTAATAATAATAAGAAACAGAGTAAAAACAATATGGTCCCCAACTTCGTTTGGGGAACATAATAAAACCCATACCAAAAACCACCAAACCTGTCACACCAGAATTTTCTTCTGCTCAATACAACAAACATGATGTCATTAAATTATTAGGGAAAGTAATTAAATCAGATAGAAAGGCAGAACTAAGAAGAGTAAAGTCAGTGGAAATTCCTCCTATTGCTACATCAATGAAATCTACAAGTGAACAGACAAAACAATGTAAACATGTGAAATCTGACAAGAAACAAACAATGTCTCTATCTGCCTCTGTCACCAAGGTCAGGGAGTTCAATGTACCAGGTGTTAATGAAGTATACCATGTATCACTAGATCAATCAGACAGACTCTGGATCAGTCAGATCTACAGGGGAATGTGATACAGAAGATAAAACCAGTGGTGGATATGGTTACCACACAGTCACACAGGACAGGGATCTAATCTTTACAGAGAGAAACAAGAACGTCATCAATAGGATAACACCGGATAATAACATCACTGAATTCATTAAAACTGGAGACTGGACACCATACAGCATACACTCCTCCCACATCAACGAGGACTTACTGGTGGGGATGATGTTTAGAGTCACCAGGTACAACAAGACAGGAAAAGAACTACAGAACATACAGAGGGATAACAAAAGACAGGAACTGTATAAATATCCAAAGTACATCACTGAAAACATCAATGGAGATATCTGTACATCAGACTATAATAAAGATGCAGTAGTGATGGTGAATAAATCAGGACAACACAGGTTCTCCTACAAAGGTCAGGAGTCAGGGTTAGATCCCTATGGAATCTGTACTGATGTCCTCGGTCACATCCTGGTGTGTGTCAGTAACGCTGTTCACCTCCTTGATCAGGACGGTCAGTTCTTGTCTCTATTACTCACAGAACAAGAGGTATACCATCCCCGTAGTGTGTGTGTGGATACTGAGAACAATCTCTATGTGGGACAATATGACACCAACACACTGACAGTGCACAAGTATTTACAGTGATTCTTACTTTGGTCAAAACATCTGGATTGATACATGTATGTGGATACAGTTATTACTAAAAACTAAAGTTCTTCTGATTTATACAGAAATTATTATAATACTGTAAAATCTTTTTTTTACTGATCACTGTGTTAAAACCTTTATTAAATATAGAACTTTTAAATGCAGTCATGGTGAAATTTATAATTTCCACAAGTTGTTCAAAATTCAAAGCTTAGCTCAAATAAATGAAAGATATTGCATGGAAATTTGGAATGCACAATTATTTTTATACATTTACTGTAAAAAAAAAATTGTCAAAGTATTTCAGAATCTACTCGCCCATTCTCAGCAATAAGGTGCAATTAATGTCGTTCCCTTGTTACTCGATATTTAATAATATAAGAATGTTTTTCAGCACGAGCAAGTAAACATAGGTTATGGTCCGTAAACATCCACAAAAATGAGCAAAATCGGGAAAAGTCTTCCGAGATAAATACGTCTCTGAATTTATGAAAACAATACATACGTTACTGTCGCCAAATCCGTATTTCAAAAATAAAACATAATTGAAAAACTCAAATCTAATAAACGTGTATTTTTATGCACAGAAATTTACTGCACACCATATGAGAGTAAAAAATAATTATAAAAGTAAAACATAAATCACATGTAAATGGCAAATATTTTGCAGCATGTCGTTGTCGCCCAGTTGTTTGATACCTACGTAACGCCATCATATAACTGAGCTTGTAAATTATGTTTATGCAAATATATTTTCATTTTCAAGAAAATCAAACAGTAGACACCTTCTACTATCTTGTAAAATTTATCTGATATTTACTTTCCTTGAAATATTTTCAAACGACTTATATGCATTATAAAACTTCGTCGGTTGTATTTTCGCAAATACATACGTTATACTTCTTTCTAAAAGTATATAAATGTGTTAGGCCCTATTAATGGTGCTTATATGATTAGGAAATGGTTCATATTTTTTATTGCATACACATTTTTAAATCATTCTCAACATTTGAAAAATGTACAGTGTATTAACTTACCGGAATTTACATACGTTACCAATACTTACGTTACTGAAAGAATATTACGCATATTCTTGAATCACGTGTTTTCCACATGATGTACCTCATTACTTGATGTTTAAAGTAAGAAAATCATGGTTGTAAATACAGATATGCAATAAATATCAATGTAGTACATGCATATCAGTAAATCTTAAAGAGCTTCGAAATTTTCGGATACCTACATAACATTCGGTAACGTTGGTATTAACTAAGCCTTAATTTTTCATTTCTTTTTTTTTAACTAAAAAAATTAAGGTTTTTATAATGGCAGGAGTTATGTTGACAGTAAGTCTACCATTTTAAATTATAGTTAATCTCGTAAACTTTATTTTCTATATACCTAATACTCTTTTTAATCACTACAAAATCTTTGATCTATTCAGTACTTCTTTGTTTATAAATTTCCCCTAGTTTATTTCAATAGATGACCAAATTTGTTGATAATGGTACAAACACTATTTGATAGTTCTATACCTTAAGAAATAAACACAAAAAATTGCAAGATTTTAAACTTTAACCCAACAAATCATATTAAAACTTTTGTCATAGCTAGTAACGTATGTAACGATTTTACGTTACGACAATAACGTAATATTTTATCATTTGTTTTCATATTCTGATTCAGTTATAGTCTGGATTTTCAAAATAGTATGTAAACTTATCCATATGAAGTATTCAAACAGTGTAATCTAATTACGGTTGATAGTTACCAAATTACCTTATTAGATAATACTTACGTTACTTTAGACGTACACAATTCTGAGACCGTATATTATTCTTTAAAAATATTATAATTATGATTGTTTTTAAATTTATTGATTTTTCCATCGTCCACTTATTTCAATTTGATACAGGTCATGTTTTTCATGAAGGCAATTAGAAGTAATAAGTAACGTAACATACTACATTATTCAGTAATTATTAAAAGTGTTCTTCAGTTGTTCTAAAAAAGAGGTTTATTGACTCTTATGCCTTAAAAAGTACAGATTATTTGCCCTTGCATCGAATAAAAATTATATTCCTGCATATATATGTTTTCTAAAGTAGTCAAAATGCCTTAATCATTGTATTTCCTAAATCAATATACACAGTAACGTATATATTGGGGTGATTTTAAAGAAAAAATACAATGTATTTCAATTTGTCATAATTTTGTCATCAACACATTGGTGTTATGGATATTTTACCATACAACTCAGAATTATCTGGAGAAAACTTTGCAGAAAAAAAATTGAGCGTATACTCAAGTTGAATTTTACGTCTCTGATATACCGTAATTGCACATTATTACTGAGAATGGGCGTTCTCATTTTGAAAGACAACAGCAACAAGTGGATGTTATATTTTAATTCATGAAAGAAATGGACAGCTGACTATAGATCTAGTGAAAAATTTATTTCCTTCCAGATACTTAGTTATGAATGAAAAATGGATTACTATTATTTTTACAATATACGCTAACTTAAACATCTAGCACTTTTAAAAATTAAAACTACGCAAAAATATACCATATGTCCACAGGGTCCGGTAACATACTATATTTGAATTACATATAACTATATATACAACAAGAGTCCCACGGGCCTTATAGGTCACCTGAGTATCGTGTGACAACTTTCAAACAAATAACTTTGGTTCGTGTTTTAAACAAGAGGTCATGAAATTTACAATTCATAATTTTGAAAGAGGCACCATTGCTTATCATAATTATAAAGTTAGCATGCTTACTCTATTAATTAACAAGTAACAGAGTAACAGAGAAAATGCACTTCCACTTTATAACCAGTTTTGCACCTCATCCCAAAGGAACCATGGACCCTTGGGCCATATATTTCAAAATTTTGCAAATTTTATCATAAAATGGTTTATTAATACCAAAGAGCAGATTTCAAAGCATTAATTTATTTTCAGACTATGTAACCCCCCGCCCCGACCCAGGGATGGGAGGGCATAAAAAATAACCATTTTGCTAGATGCACCTTTCTTCATCATAAATATATATACTTGGATCATTGGCATAAAACCCAGGAGCAAAGGAAAAGATTTTCAAAGAATTAATGTATTTTCACGATATAATCTATATAGCCTCTCCCTAGCACTAGAACCCTGATCCTGGGGCCATAAAATTCACAATTTTGGAAGAGGCACTCTTGCTCATCATAACTATGTACTTAGTTAGTTTATTTAATACCCAGGAGCAGAGAAAAAGATTTTCAAAGAAATAATGCATCTTCATTATATAATCTATATAGCCCCGCCCTAGCACTAGAACCCCTGACCCTCGGGCCATGAATTTCACAATTTTGGTAGAGGACTCAATGCTCAATACATTCATGCCAACAGTTTGTCAGCTTGATGTCCAGGAGTAAAGGAGAAGATTTTTAAAGATTGCAATAATTTTAGTGGTTTTGGCCCCATCCCCAAGCCCCAGGGGGGCAGGGACCATGAAATTCACAATTTATGTTCCCCTTCACCCATAGATGCTGTATACCAAATTTGGTTGAAATTGGTTCAGTGGTTTCAGAGAAGAAGCTGAAAATGTTCAAATGTTAACACACGACGGACGACGAACGAGGGACGACGACGGACGAAAACAGATAGCAATAGGTCACCTGAGTTACTCAGGTAACCTAAAAAGAAGGGTACACAGGGTCGATCAGGGAAATAATAGACAATGAGGTAATAACTAATACTATACTACAATAAATATTCTTTAATAAGACTTTAACATTGGTTATACTAACTCGACATCCAGTCTTATGAATCGTTGTACTTTATGTCGCCCACAAAAACGAGGTAAAATTCGCACACAATTTCTTCAGCTTTTAAGTATTTCCGTATGTCCGTCATATGCTTTTATGCTTTTGAGGCTAGTAACCATGGGGGGGGGGGGGGTATTTCGCATACTGTGTCACAACTTATTACTTTTTATTGATTCTTGCTGTTCTAGGTCTTTTTCTAATATTGATAAAAGAAAGATTGTCCTCTTTTAAAATGCCACATTTCATTTAGTCTAACAAGTAAAATTCAATATTTGATTTGGAGGGGGCTTTCCAATCATTTCGTTCTCGATATAGAAACACGACATTTTTCTCTGATAAGATTAAACATTTTATTTTAGATTCGAGATAAAAAGATGTAAAGCGTTGAAAAAAAAGAACTATAATTTAAATATTTACTCGTGTGACAACTTTCATTTGTTAAATTCAGCCTTAGTTAGTCTTACATGCATAAATTTGCATATACCATTAGTTCAAGAATTGAATGCCATTTTTTTTTTTTATTTTATAGAGCAATTTACAACCTGATATTGTATATATGATAAAATTACAATACTTATAGCATACCTTATTTTTATTGATTGTTTTTTACATTTTATAAATCGATTCAGTCGCATATCAATTTTTACCTACTTAATTTTTCTGAATTTTATAAAATAATTGGAAATATATAACATCTGCACAAGAATACTACATGTACATGTAGGCTTAGTTTAAATATGTTTAATTAAACGAAAAAAATGAACTTAACTTGACAATCAAATGTACTTCGTAGTGGTAAATACATAAAGAAGGCAATAAATCACGATTTTATTCATTTTGTGTAATTTTGATCGGGATTGCATGGTCCAAATATTTAACATTGATAAATATTGGTGTTTCTTAATATATATGTGTTTTATTTCCCTTAATAATTTTTATTTCAAAAATATTGAAATGTCCATCAAGCCTTTCTTTACATATTTTTTAAACATTCATGTCATGTATTTATTTTGTTAACATCAAATGTTAAACCGTAATAAGGCACCTTATTCACAAATAAAACTCCTTTTTTATTTTCTGTGAAATTTAAAAAAGAAAATCATAAGATAATTGAGAGCTAATATCGGTCTTTCAACACTGAAACCATAATAATTATTGCTTTATCCCGTTTATA